AGATTAGTTTATATTTGGACAGTTGATATATTGACAGCTATTACAGCCTGCACTGGTATTGATATGAAGACGCCTGCAGTGGCTCTGGATATACCGTCTATGTAAAGGCATTGAAAGTGGCAGAATTTTAAAGTTTTAAAAAGTGTATCTCTACCAGCTTCTAGCCAAAAATGGAAACTGAAATGAATCACATCTAACAGTGCCAAACAATTTCAATTAAATTGGATTGTTTTGTGGGTATGAATTATAATTCTGCAGGATAAAATGTTCCTTAACTACAGAAAACAAACTTATGGAGTACATTTTAAGGACTAAGTTGAGGCAGGAGTGCAGGTGGAGTGTGCGTGCATGTACAGTTAAGACATGGGGTGTGGTTGAAGAGTACAATGGTGGTGTTGATGGTGGTGTTGATGGTGGGGTGCAGACGGTGAACTAACCGCACCGTGCTGCTGCTAGTCGACGCCTGGACGGACGGATGAGACCGGGCTTTGTGTGCGGTGCTGAGACGGGCCCTCTCCCGCCCTGGACGGACTACTGCAGGCGAGAAACAGTTTGGCGTCAATCACACCGCGTCACATGTACGGTTATTGATTATATTGATCATATTATAGGCCTATTCATTGCTTAGAAGTAAAACGCTCGAATGCTTTAACCCCCTCCTCCTCTCTACCTTCACTTCCATCCTCCCCCTCCTCCTCCTCCTCTTCCTCCTCCCCATCCTCCTCCTCAACAACAGCAGACAGCAGCGCTCAAAACCCAAACCTTCCTTTCACTCTTTAAAACACTCAGGATTGATCAGGATTGGATTATTTGAAATCTTTCGTTTATTTGTCGATGTTAAGCTTGTGTTGTCTTGTTGGGACGAGTGATCGGCAGCTTTACAGCCTGTCACATATTGGCTTGCAGTCCATAAAACCTCTGCCTGCCTTTAAATGTTTCCCTTTTTTTACCCTTTATTTACTGCTGGTGTAGATGGTAAAAATGAGCTCAGAATCGTTGTCAATTATTGATCGAAGCGTCAATGTGAGAAATGTGTTCTCCCAAATTTGTGTTCAGAAACATTTTTCCGAAACACTGCGAACCAAAAGAATACACGGTATTTTCCCCTCACTGACTGGGTCGATACAGCGCTTTATATTTGGCGTCTAAGGTTTGGCACAGAGTGCTTTATCGGAGACTCGGATGCGTCTTAGAATGTTGTCATTCACTGTTATTTTTTCAGATATTTTCTATCCTTAAAAAATCCTAAAAATCCTCCTTTATTGGAACGATGTTTGCCCCAAAACAGCGGCATCAACAGCGGCATGTGCAAAAATAATTTAAGGACTGTGAAACACCGCCTTGTAATATTAATCATTACAATATTTATTCTTAAAAATGTGTAATTAATTATTAAATGAAACAATAATATTCACTACGATGTTTGATTACAAACCTATTCGCGTCATGTACCTTCAGTAAGACGTGTTTTTAATTCATGTTTCATTTTTAATTAACATTTAAGTCCTTCGTGCTGAGAATACTTCAACGGCAGATCGGCAAACAGCATATATTTTTAACAGACATAATAATCAATTTTTCCCCCAAATAGAATTAGAATTATTTTATTAGAGTTGGAACTTTCTTCCTATTGCGTGCATATCACTTTATGGAAGTTTCTGTAACGTATAAAGTTATTGGCTGCTACTGTGCGTCCTTAAGGACTAGGATATAATAGTAGTATAATATAATAGAATTGATGGTTTTGAAGGGGTGTTTGTTTGTTTGTTTGTTTGTTTTGTGTCAGTGCATCTACATGTTTGTGCTAAAACCATTATCGCAAATGCAATGCAAAACCGCCTTTTACATATGAGGTATAATTTCCAGACTCTGACTTATAAAAGGACAAATGTAGAGTAAAGCTTTGTGTGTGTGAGAGAGAGAGAGAGAAAGAGAGAGGGGGAGAGAGAGGATTTTGATTGGATAAATTGCCAGGATTGTGATCATAAAAATATACTTTTCTATAAATTGATATGTGATGTCATATTACCATGGACTTGTCAAAGAAGGTTGCAGGGAGTGAAAACATGGTTATTTGAATGAAGTTGTTAAAATAAGTACAGTTAGACAAACACAGTAGAGTGTCGTTGTGAAGGAGTTAATGTTGCATTGCATGTATAATAATATTTTAAACCTTTTTGTTGCATCACTTGCCTATTAGCTCATAAATGGTAAAAAATCTACTGACTGCTGTGTCTTATGTCATCCTCCTTATTTATGACCTGCTCGTATTTAATGAGTGTGAGGACAATCGCCGTGATTTCCTTCACATCTTCAAAGCTACTGGCTATGCAAAATGGCTCCCGACTGTGACAGTGACAAAGAAAGATGACCAGAGAGCAGCAATGAAAACAGGGTGGAAGGCAAAGGATCTGCTTTGCTGATGCTGGTACGGAGCCAGGAGAGACAGAGGCAGTGGGGGAGGCAGGGCGGGAAGGATAGGAGAGAGAGAGAGAGAGAGAGATGAGGAGAGCAGAAGAGAGGAAATCAATACCGATTCAGAACGAGTCAGATAAGCCTGAACAATGTATAGTGCAGACACACTCTATAACCCAGTCACACACACGTATGATTGTGCACATACAAATAAAAACAGTCAACCACCCGTACATATAACGCACACACTCAAAAGTGCCTCCATCAAGACACATAAGAATCCCCCATAAAGCATAGCAACCTTTAAAATCAAATGACATGACAACCTTGGATTGCTTTAAGGATTTGCTGACATGAGCAGAAAGCAGTCATTACTACAACTCAATAGTCAACTGGACGCACTAATGCTCTTTGTCCACTGTAGAATGCGTGAACCTCCTAAAACGCTGAGACATTTTGGTGGGCAGTAGAGATTCTTCTTCTTCTTTCTGTACAGAAATCTGATCTGAGTTTCCAGAAGTAAGTCTACACCGTCCTCGCTGTGTGTGCTCCTGACATGCTGCAGGATGTTTTCTGGTGTAAACAGCCTCTTTTAAAACCACTTACATGCCCTCTGACACCGTGCTGCGCAGTGATACTAGTGTGTGGTCCTCAGCTGTTAACCACAGACCTGACTTTGCTTACCTACAAGATGCTGTTACAAGCGCTAACATTCTCTGCTTTGCTCCCTTTCTTCCCCTCTCCTTCTCCCTTATACTTATCAATTATTAAGGTCTGTATTGATCTGTTCACTGCCTAGCCTCTATCTGGCTGTTCACACAAAGCCCAAACCTACCTGCCCTCACTCAATCAATGGCATCTCCCAGCTCCTCTAGCTCCTTTTTCTACGTGTCAGTTTTGCTCTCCTTTTCTTTGCTCTAAAGCAGGGACAACCAAAGCTTTGTCCAGTCCAATTGTGGGCCCCCTCGAATCTTCAGAAAATAATAATAATAAAAAACTGCAGACAATTAAAGTTTAATGGCACCAGCAAGTATGATAGACATTAAAGGATGTAGCTGGTAAGAGCAAGAGCGTGAGATGAGCCGACGGAAATAGAATCTGGTGTGTGTGTGTGTGTGTGTTCTTTAGCTGTATTACACAAGGTCTTATTCACCTTCTTGTCAGTGATTCAGTTTTGTTTTGCTCTGGGGCATTGATGTTTTGAAGTGAAACAAGCCGCCTGCCTGTTGCCAGGTTAACCAGTGAAATATTAGTGATATTATTTTTCATATACTGCGGAAAGAGAGAGGGGGTGGCAGGGAGTGAAAGGGAATGGGGGTGGGGATGGGAAACAGTCTTATTGATCTCCTATGTGCAAAGCCAGGCAAACACTGAAAGGACAGAACTACACTATTAATGACACTCACAGCCTGGGCCACTAATCCTCATCTATCTATTTATCTATCTGTCTGTCTGTCTGTCTGTCTGTCTGTCCCCACGTGATGCTGTACTTGTATCTTCTTGGTCATAACACTTCCTTTCACCGTCCCAGCCGTGATCAATATTTCGTCAGTGATGTTCATGCAGCTTAACGCAGCTTTGAAACACATCCAAGTATCGTTGTCTGTGTAGTTGGGCCCACGGTCCTCCAGCTGTGTCTCCAGTTGATCTGGATCTACCGTGTACCGTGTGTTGTTTTCATTCGAATTCTCTACATCTGACTCTCAAGCGAAACTCCAGTGAGTGACACCTGGACTCCCAGTCCGTGCTGCCTTCAGTGCCCTCGACTGTCGTGACTTCTACAGTTGACACCGCGTCTAAATTTAGAGCTTTTACATCCGAGGACTAAATGAAAAGCTGAGGGAGAGACTCTGCGGTTATTGCGTCTTTTAGCCTGGATGCGAGTATCGACCCGTGTGCCACATTTAAAAGGGAGAGTGGGAACTGGCGTATTGATCAGGCAGCCTGGGGTCACCCCCGGTTCTGCCGCGCAACTGGTTGGCACTTCTGGACGCAGAGCAACGCCGCGGCTGTGTATTTATGGTCAGAGAGAGAGAGGGGGGAAAGGGGGGGACAGAAGGGGAGGAGACAACTATTTGGAGGTTTATGGTGAATCGATAGCGATTTGCTATGTGCCGATCAAAAATAAAGACCCCACAATTTTTTTTTGTACAAACCGTTTGTGGAAACACAAGTTCAAAATAAAACCCTTGGAGTCCTCACTTTCCAGGGGTCTAAATAAGCACCAATCATCAGTCATTCTACTAGATATTTTTTTACAAACTATTTATTAATAATTGGTCAAAACATCGTCTTTAAATCCTGTATTTAATTCAAGGTTTGAATGTCTGCTCCGTATCTAAATGTGCTGAAAATCTCTAAATATAATTTAAATATTGAAGTTTCCCACATGTCGTTCGTTCCTAAAATGTATAATTAAATGTAGTTTTTATTAATTAAATATCCAACTTTTAGGGAAACGTTAAAACAATTGGCCGATGAGAGTGAGCTGTCCGAGGTGCTGAATTGCTCAGGCCTCCTGAAGTTTTGCAGCGTCTGGTGCGTTTTTAGTTGGAACATTACGGTCTGTTTGACGTTCACTGCGGTTATGTGTGAGGTGAAATTAGTTCAGCGGAAAACAAAACCTTACCGGCTAACCGGAGAGCGGACATCCGCTGAAACTCCGGCTCCTGCAGCCACTTCCACATCCTCCTGAAGGTCTCTCGGCCTGACTTGAGCTTACTCCAGGGTTTGGGGTTCCGCAGGAGGTCAGAGAGCGTTCCCTGTGAGCGGCTCAAGATCCGCTGGGCGAATATGGCCTGAGGGATGGAGTACCGCTTCAACTCGGCCGTTATCCTCTGAGCCACCTCCTTGGTGTTGATTTCCTCAGCTTGGATGTTGGACCCCGCTACTCCCTGACCGCCTCCGTGGCCGTGCCTCTCCCGCTCCCCCAGCATCACTGCTCCGTTCGCCTGTGAGTGCAGGTGACTGTGCGGGTGATGGTGCATGCCGTTCAGGTTGGAGATCATGCCGTGGCCGTGACCTCCTAAACTCCTGACTAGGTGCTCCTGGTCACTTCGGGACAACATGGAGGCGTGAGACTCGAACCCCGACACCGGGGAGATCATCTTGGCGTCGTTGGAGAGGTGCGCACTCGGACCGTAGGCTGAGAGCGGCTGCTGAGAGTTGTGCAAAGAGCCCAGTCCGCTGGACAGCGGGGACAGAGAGCCGTGGCCCATTCCCGACATCTCTTTCGGGTAGTGACTGTACAGGTTGCCCATAGAAGCGAGCCCCCGGTGGTCCTCCCGCATCAACGTGAAGCTGCCGCTGACATTACTGGCGGAGAGTCGCTGGTGAGCGGCAGCGTGGTGGTGAGAATGCGGGTGGTGAAACTTATCCGAGACTGTGGATATCGGAGGTAGATGCTGCAGGGGAGTCAGGGTGGTGTAGGTGTTGCTCAGGCTCATCCCGCCTTCACACATGCTGATGGAAGGGTGCAGGTGACCGGACAGCGCGGACGGATCGGACCTGTAGTCCCCGCCGGAGCCCTCCAGGAGAGAGGCCATGCCCGTGACCATGGTTGACCGCGTCCCGGGGTCGTGTGAGACCAGATTCCGTGGAGTGGAGCTCGGAGATGGTGACGGCCGTGCGTGCGGGGAGCTCATGAGGTCTCTGTGCTGGGAGTGCGAGGAGACGCTGTGGATGTTCTCCATGGTGAGCTCCATAGCTAAAACGATATATTTTCCCCCTGTCCCACCCTCCCCACCCTGTCTCCCGTCTCGCTCCTGTCTCTCACTCTCACCCTCTAACCCTCCTGGAGCGATAAAATCACGTTTAAACGCCAATCCATTGATTCAAAATATCCGATCCAGTCCAGAATTCTTTTTGGGTTTTGCAAAGAAAAGGTTCTGAGTTTCCGGCGCAGGCACAGAACCGAGCGACTGCGCGGCGTCTGTGCGCTCTCTGCCTGGCTGTGGATGTGGATGGGGGCTCTCCAGGGCGAAATCTCATCTGTGGACCAACAGCGCTTCCACTCAGAGCAGGCTGAGCCACGTGTCCGTGCACTGGGAGCGCGCCTCTGAGTATTTAAATGTGGGGCGGGTACGAGCAGAGATTTCTTCGTCTCCTTCACTGAGGTGAAAGCACAGGTGGAGGGGAACATTTATTCCTCAGAGCATTTTCACACTTTTAGTCATTCTCCATAAACGTTATTAAGGCAGCTGTAAGTGCTTATACATTTGCGCGTGCACGTGTGACGCCGCCGTAACCGTGCACCTGTAACAGAGGAACACAGACAGGTGACATGGTCGCAGGTGGATTTTGCATAAAGAACTCAGTGTGCGTCCGTTTCCGGACACTGCAGGAGTTGTTTCCAGATAAACTTTTGTTGTTTTCCCACGGACTGTATGGTTCTGCATTTATGCGCTTAGTGATAAACCTGATCGAAATATTGACTGACAGAGATTAATGACGTGGGGGAGGAGGGGGAGAGGGCAGGTGGAAGGGTGAAGGGTGGTGATGAGGGGGGAGGTGGGAGTGCAGTGAAGGAGGTCACAAAGTAAGTTATAGGATTCTAACACTGCAGAAGAAGGGGGCGACGTCATGGTGGTCGTCTGGAGAGGAACTCAGCAGCCAATTACATTCATTTAGTAGGAAGATATTGTAGTGATACTAAAAATGAAGAGGTCAAAATATGAACAAAAAAATTAGAGAAAGGGGCGCAGTTTTCAGAGGAAGGTTGTGTCAGTTGTTTACGCAAAAAAAATCAGGATGACGTAAATTTAGGGAAATAAATAATAACAAAATAGTTTAAATCAGTTATAGTATTTACACAATTATTATTATTATTATTATTATTATTATTATTATTATTATTATTATTAGACATGATTATTTAACCCGTGGTCCAGATCGAGATCGGTTCATTAACAGTGACTGATCCAGGATCAGCAGCCGCCTCAATTACAAGACACACAATGCTTTCCGTTTGTAATGCTCAGTGAGTGTGTGTGTGTGTGTGTGTGTGTCAATTCATTGAGGAAAAACTGAGGAGCTTTAAAACACCCGTGTCGATAATCGTGTCTGTTTTATCTTTAAAGGTTTTCACTAAAAGGCTGTAGACAGTATAATTTGCAGCACAAGATAAATGAATGTTCAATCTGGAGAAAAGACAGACGTGTTGAAAACTCTTGTCATTTTAACCTCAGGAAAGAGACTTTAAATACATGTTTTTATGTTAGTTTTTTTGTTTTTCCAATCCAGTCCAGGCCGTGAAATTGAAATTAAAAATACCTCAATACAATTAATAATCGGTTTCA